AGAGTGAGCTGTTGCTTCTCAGCTAACTGCTGGACTAAATCCAGCTGATTTACGGGTGATCTGCAATTCTCAGGATCAGATGTCATCTCCTTCATGCAATAATTCAACAGGTTTGTGTTGTTTTTTTTTTTTTTCCCAATAGAGCCCCTGAAACAGCTGTTTGTTCTCAAACTGCATGGTCTAAGAAGGCAGATGTCCCACACTCCACACCAGCAACACCTTTGCTTTCTGTTACTCTAGACCTTTGGCCATCATCTTGCAACCCTGGTCTTTCACGTTTCCTCTGTCACAGACCTTACTATTTTTTCTAAGTTCCTGGAATTGTGTGTTTTGTCAGTGAATTAATTTGTAGGACTGTGTTTTACCACCCAGCATGGTAGTGCAATAGAAATACCACATCTAAAACAAAGTAATAACCAAAGTCCCCCTATAGTAGGAGGGTCTTGGAGCAAGAGTTTAGAAGATCCTATAACTAAGGTTACATATGTATCTTAATTAGCCCTATTTAAGGTTTTTTTTAATTAAGTCCCTTATGCATATGAATTGGAGTTTGGGGTTCAGTGCCTTTTTTTGATGACATGCTGGAGTAGGGACTAGTTCAAGGAAGAAACAGTCTGGAGAATTCAGCTATCGGGCAACAAGAAGTCTTTACGTGGCCTGTACAAACTGATTTTTTAGCATATTTGTAATCCATTTTAAGAGAGATTTGCCTGTTGATAAGAGGTCTGTCTACAGCACAAAGCTGTTCATAAAAAATGCACTCGGTGAATACTGTACGTATTCCTGGTGTGTTGGCCAAGTCGGAGTTTTCAATGAACATCCTGCTTATTGACATGGCACCTAGCACCTCCTCATTCAGTTTTGAACTTGTTGCACCATTTTCAGTACTGTTTTGCAAATAAGAGATTAAAAGATCTTTCTATAGAACTTTGGCTTAAAGAAGTTTAATACTGTGAATGCAAGCAGCATTAAAATTAAATGCAAATTTGATGAACACTTGTCATTTATTGATTGAATTTACTCCTGTAGGCTTGGAAACATTGGAGACACCTTTTTATTTTTTAAAAAAATAAATATATTTTTTTATTTCTTTTGTGTAGGAGATTCCTTTACACAGTTCCAATTTGCTGATGAGAAAGAATGGGATAAAGAAAGCATATGCCATAAGCAGGTAACAAATTATCGTTCAAATGAGTTTGTACGAATAATCGCCTGGCACAGACTACCTGTCTCTTTCTGTATATTTTTATTAATTTGCCTCTGATGCTGGAGACTCTTGGGTTTTGTCCTTTTTTTTTTTTTCTTTTTTTTTTCCTGTTGAAGACTAATCAAAGCAGCAGGCTAGGGTTTGTTGAGTAACGATGGAAGAAAAGAACAAGCAAATACATCGAGTGAAGGGGAAAGAAAGGACTGTCACTTTGCTTTACTAACATGTCAAGTCAGACTCACTTTTCAGCTGTATTCAAGAGAAAATCGTTTAGTGAAATGGCTGTAACAAAACCTATGGGAGTGTATTCATATATTTGACTATGAATCTTGTTCTAGTTCTTTCAAATTAACAGTTTATGTCCTGTGGTTGAAACTTCACCTCCAAAATTACTATGGGACCAACTAGGTTGTAGATTATTTGTATGTGGATTCTTTATGCTGGAACAAAAAGGGGAAAAGCAATAGGAATCTGCTGTTTTCTATATCAGGATACTTGAAAGTCTTAATCTCTGCAGCTGTCTTCCTCACGTAAGTCACCTAAATTATTGCAAGATAAATGCTTTTGTCTTCCAAGCTTTTCTTAAAATTGCTGCGAAACCGTGCTTGAGTATTTCTTGAAACATACTTATATATTCAGATTTTAAAAGTTTGTATTTAGTTCTTGAAATTATTCTCTGGGAAGTGGTAGTTAAAGATACATTAAAGGTTGAACATCAAATTAAAATGAGGAAATAAAACCAAGTGCAAGCATTTGTTTAAACCATCATATGTTTCTTCAGTGGGATACAGTCTTTCAGTGACTTTTTTCTTGTCAGTTCTTCCAGCTCCTAGCGTGCAGGATGTCAGTATCCAGAATATGAATTTCTTCATAATTTCCTCATAGGCTTGTCATTATAGCATTTAGGTGATTCAAACACATTAATTAATTTCTTAATGGCTAAAGTCATTGTGAGCAGAGTGAAGTCGCGTGTTGCCAGTGGATTTCACAAATATTCTCTGGCTGCCAGTGATGAGACTGCACAGTTCTGCAGCTGGTCCCATGCTCTCACTCATTGAGAATTGTGCTGTGGTGGGCACGTTCTTCTGCCTCTGTCCCTACCAAGCTGTAGTCTTTTGTCCTGCCCCATCCAAATTTGTTGTTTCAAACTGTTTTCTGTCTTTCGCTGTTCTAATGTCAGTTTGAAATAGTTTACTGCACTAGTCACCATTATCCTTATTTTGATTTCTTATTTTAGTTTAGAATCCTGGCCCAGATGGTTTCATAGCATTGTTTAATTTTTCACATTGCCTCTGGTCTTCAGCCTGTTCTTTTCTTTTACCTGAAAGCTGGCTCCGGGTCTAATTTTCATCCTTGATCCACTTTGCCAAATTCCTTACCTTAGCCTCTTAGCTCACCTGTTTCTAGTTCTTTGCCTGTCCATACATTATGTACAAGATTAGAGAAGTGATTATTATGAAACAAAATAAAGCAGAGAAGGCATAAAAATAGTTGCAGAATGACTAGATGTTTCCCATTCCACATTATTTGTAGAAAGAAATGGCAAAGCATCAGTTTCAAATGTGGAATGGAAATGTAACAGTGACATCCACAATAGTGAATTTATTAGGAATATTATTCATTCATTGTCGCAAAAAGTAGATCTCGATTTGTGTTATTGTATATTGATAAAATGCAATAAAAATGTTTCAGAACACAGTCTGCAATTCAAAAATCAAACAGGTAATAGTCATTTGGATTTTTCAGTAAAAAATGGCAATTCCTTCAACAAAGTATGCTTCTACTTGTTTTCTTGAACAAATAACTACATGTGCCATGAAGTGCTTATGATTTATTAAGTACTGCTTTCATCCTGTTGTTTTTTAATCAAACACTACTTCTAGTGAAATCTCTGCTTGCATATTGAATTCCTGTCTTCCTTCATCCTCAGCCTTTCCTCCTCTTCCCTGTCTCCATTTTCACCTCCATTCGCAATGTTCATTCACATTAATCTTTTTGCAAGTATACTTAGCTCTTCCCAAATACACTTAAATGTTGCTCAATGATACTTCACTTTTTACAATTTTTTTGTGTTAGCAGATTCATACAATTTCCTTGTCCCTTGCAAACGTGCAGAAGATGTATTTGTTCTTCAAAAGAACTGTGTTTTCTGAAGCTGTAGTTCATTGCTGGGCAGCAAGAATTGCTTGTGGAAGGCTTTTTGAGGTTACTTGTACCAAGGAGTCATCTTTAACAGTGATCACTAATCCACTGTAAAATACAGTTGTTAGTAAAGAAGAAAAATTCTAACCATCAGATATTTAAGTAGTTTGGTTCTTTTACTTTCATTACTGGATACCAGAATCAGAATTTGGATACAAGAAACTGTTAAACCAACTGCATTGTTTCTTTTTTTAATTTAGTTTAATTTAATTTTGTAAATATGCTATTGGAACACACTGTGTCGTTGATGTTCATTCTTGCTGTGTGTGCAGGTGTCAAAAGCCACCTGGTGACCAGCTTTTGGGAGCAATGTGAATTCCTTTGACAAATCTCTTACGATATAGCACAAAACACTCTCTTCTAACTTAAGAGTATTTGGACTTCTGCATGTCTGTGTCAGTCTATACCATGTTGAGAGGGACATTTTTTTTGTCTCTTTAAGCTAGATTTAGAAGCAGCTTCTCTGCTTCCATGAAAATGAGAGTACAGACTGAAGCATTTTGCTGTCAGATTTTAAAAGATGTGATGGATATCAAATTAGCTTTTTCACTGGTGGTGAATGTATTCAGAATGTTCTGCTGTACTGTGAGCTCAAAATCTGTTTAAGTCTACCAAAGTCCTGGGTGGTCTGTAAAATCATTAAATATTGCTGGTCCATTTTGTTTAAATTAGTTTTTAATAGTTTACAGCCAAAAAAAAGGGTCAAGAGAAAAGGAAACTCCAATACCTGTCATGTTAATAAGTGACATTTCCACCTTTTAAACAACTAAGCAGCAGTAGAGTATCTTTGTTGATTATCATAGAATGGTTTGGGTTGGAAAAGACTTTTAAAAGTCACCTAGTCCAACCCCACTGCAGTGAGCAGGGACATCTTCAACTAGACCAGGTTGCTCAAAGCCCCGTCCAACCTGACGTTGAATGTTTCCAGGGACGGGGCATCTTACCACCATTCTGGGCAACCTGCTCCAGTGTTTCACCACCCACAACATAAAACAATTTCTTCCTTATATCTAGTCTATATCTACCCTCTTTTAGTTTAAAACCATTACCCCTTGTCCTATCGCAACAGGCCTCGCTAAAAAGCCTGTCCTCATCTTTCTTGTAGCCCCCCTTTAAGTACTGGATGGCTGCTATAAGGTTTCTCTGGAGCCTTCTCTTCTCCAGGCTGAACAACCACAACTCTCTCAGCCTTTCCTCATAGGAGCGGTGCTCCAGCTCTCTGATCATTTCTGTGGCCTCCTCTGGACCTGTTCCAACAGGTCCCTGTCTTTCCTGTGGTGAGGGCTCCAGAGCTGGACACAGGACTCCACGTGGGGTCTCAACGAGCGCGGAGCAGAGGGGCAGAATCCCCTCCGTCAGCCACGCTTCTCTTGATGCAGCCCAGTGTGTGGTTGGCCTTCTGGGCTGCGAGTGCACATTGTCGGCTCATGTCCAGCTTTTCATCCAGCAGTACCCACAAGTCCTTCTCTGCAGGGCTGCTCTCCTGAGTATCATTTTAGAAGTGTATTTAACTATAGTTTGTGGCTTTTGTAAGCATCAAACCAACATTTTAACAGATGGGCCAAGTTGTTTGGGCACTAAAAACAGTAGAGCTAGACACAAACTACGTGGTTTGATTGCTTAGAAAATAGTAGCAACTCATGAAAGAATGGCGATTCTCACTGTGTGGAAAGCTTCACAGATGAAAAGATGTTTGATTTGGTTGGAAAAGCCTCTTATGACATTGTCAACTTGCAGAACTATTTCCTGCTTTGGATTTTCAGGACATTGCCTAAGAAGCATCCTATTTATACCTTATGTGTTTATATGGTAATGTAGCCAAACTGTTTTGTACATGTGTACTTTAAAACTATGAATTCCTGTACTTCATTAGATTGTTCTTCACATTCCTTGAATGTATGGAACAGGGGAATGTAATAGATTAAAGTCATTATTAGTTCATCTTTTTTTTAATAGCAGCCTACTGTGTGTTGAATTGTATTTCAGTTATCTGCGCTTTCTGTTGACTGCCAGTCTTTGGTCCAGGCCCTTCAGGAATTGCCTCTCCACTTGAGGTTGAATGTAGCTGCTGAACTTGTGCAGGTAACGCTATGAATTTTCACAAAACATCCTGCAAATATTTTAAGTGAAACAATCTATGCAAGAATGATTACTTTAAACTTGGTCTTCAAACATAAGTAGAGTCTATCTTACAAGTAAATACACTCCTTGAGATCGGCACGTCAAATGGCGTGTAATGCAGGATACCCCTCTTGCAGCACTTTTTCTGCTTTGTTGGCTTTGAACAAAATGCTTCGATGTGTAGCACAGAGATTTCAGGCCAGGTATTGGAGTGTTTGACATGCATGATTGCACTCTTTCTATATTTGCTCCTCTTGTTAGCAGCTGTTAAAAGCTTGCACCAAAATTTTGAAAGTGCTTTCACATTCTTTCCTGTTCATTATTTTTATTGTGATTTGCTCTTCCACATAGCTAATATCAACATGCGTGTTTATTCCATGAATCAAACTTACATCTCTGTTAGAACAGGTAGAACTGTCAATCCAACAGGTGAAGAAAATGTCATTTATGCTCTGGTGTAAAACAACAAAAAAGCAACAGAATATTAGGAATAAGTGTCTCTTCAGGCTGTGAAAAAGAAAATATTCATGTAAGGGCAAAAGAACCAATGAGACTTAAATATAAAAACAGAATTAAAAAAAAAAATCCATCTGGGACTGACACAATGATGCTTTTTTTTAAGGGAGCTCAAATTTATCTGCAGATGTGATATCTAAGGGAATCTGGAAATAAATGTTACTTTCAAATACAGTTTTCTTCTTAAAGAGTTCAAGTCATGATCTTTAACTTTCATCAGGGTTATAAAGTGTGTGTTATGGCATTTCATCTTTATCTTGTCATTCTGACTGGTGATGTGGTCATCAGCTATGCTGCAGTGTTACTAATGCCAGGGCAACCCGATGAAAGCAGAATCCACAGTTAGTGAGTTGCCATTTCTTGTTTCACTATTTGATAAAGTTTTGCAATTTGGTTTTGTTTTTCAAAATACACAGCTATTGCTAAATGATTTTCAGCAACCTGTAGTAGGGTTGGCTTTCAAGACTGGAATTTTGGAGGGAAGGCCTAACATGGGATAATGTTTCTAGCCACATGCTGACTTCAGTCATTCCAAAATTCAGAGTATTGATGGGATTTCATTAAAGAAGAATAAAAGAAAAGTCAGTCTCCAGGAAGTGTTTGTGAAACAATGGAACTTGCTGATTTATCATACAATCTCATATTCTGTAACAAAGGAGTTTGTATTTTGTAGTTGCTTCTGTAAAAGTATCATCAAGATAACTTTGGCTTACTTTTACTTCTGAATTAAATTCTGCTGAAATTCATTGTGTCTTCTGAAGTGATTGAATGTAGGAAGCATGAATTACAATCCAAATTAGACAATAGTAAAAATGGAATTAATCATTAGAAAGACTCATTTCCTTTCTTGTGCTCTTAGGCATCAACACCTGTAGAGCTCCCACAGACGAGGTCTAAAATTATTGAAGACAGCAAGAGGAGAGAGTTTCTGTTCCGACAGTCTCTGGCTCAGAGTGAGACGGTGTTGGTCTCCAATCCTGTTGGTGATTCTGTTGCTCCATCAAAGCCTGGAAGTAAAAATGGGCCTAGGGCAAGTGCAGCAGAACCATTTCAGAGACCCCATCTGCTGTCAAAGCAAGAGACTGACCATTTGGATGAAGAACTAGATCTTCTCCTAAATCTGGATGCTCCCATTGATACGGAAAACAGACCTATGCCAGGGGCGCTATCCTACAACATATCAACTGAGAAAGATTTGAAAATTGATTGTAAGGAAAACGGTAAGATTTCTCTTCTCCTCAGCATGCTATTATTTAATTTCCATTGCTCTCTGTTTTGGGGATGTTTTTGAACTCTTGATTAGCCAGACAACAGTACTGCTGTCGTCGTCTCTGTCATACTGCCTTTCATTTATCTGGGGCTATATGCTGACCCATTCGTTCCTTTTCAATTTTAACTCCCTCCTGAACTAATGTTTCCTCGTTGTCAGTTCATTTTAAGCACGAAGAGAAGTTCTTCTGCAGAACAGCATTGGTCTTATGATTCAGCAAAATTTTTAATTAAAAAAAAAAACAATTAATGTACTACTAGAGAATTTTAGTGAGAGGAAGATAAAATCAAGTTTTTATGTGACATTATCAGCCCTTAGTTCACTATACTAATAGTGAATTAGCAAATAGTTAATACAGAAGAATTGACAGCTCTTTCTGATGGCTTGTTATAAATGCTATTTTAAAACTTTATTAGTATTCATTTTACAAAATTTAGTATGGAAACAAAACATATAAAAAATTGGCAAATCCTTCCTTTTGTTTGCCTTCCTAGAAATTATACTACTGTACAACCATCCGATGGAGATGGTTTGCTACTGCTCCTCAGTCCACTGTGCTGTAAAAGCATTTTTGACGTCTCTGATTTTTGTGTATGATTTTCTTGTTATCTTAAAAATTAAGTCCAAGATAGTTGAACATGTAAGATGTCACCACAGGCAACACAGCACGCCTTGTCGCTGAAGACAATCTTGAAATGCTCTTTCATGTCAGTGGTACATCATGCTTTCCACTCCAAAGCACTGTGTAAATCCCTTAAGAAAACAATACCATCAGAATCCAGAATCATATCATGCTGTAACAGTCATGCAGGGTGATCTGCTGCGGTGGCCTCCTGCTCCTCTTCTACATTAAACCCTGCACTGGCGAGGACTGCAAGCAGATGGCAGTGGGGGGATCACTTACAGTCTGTCTGCTGCAGACCAGGCCCTGCCCACCTTGAAGCGGATGGAAGCCAGGCTCCTCTGCTTGAGCTTATTAAGCTGCCTTTTTTCTTTTTTTTTTTTAATTGCTGCTACTGTTTTTGCAATATGACTTGCTAGTCTTCAAGAAAGAGAGGGTGTGTTTCAATAGTCAGTTGTGCATTAAAAAGCAAAATTATGTGGGACAAAGAGATGATATGGAATTGGTGCCAGATTTTCAAGTCTGTTCTTTCCACTTTTCTAGCCCCTTTAAAACTAGATGTGCCTGAAGAGAAGAGTACAGCATCACAGCAGCAGCAAACTACATCTAAAAATGTTACTGAGGAAGAGCTCGAAGATTGGCTGGACAGCATGATTTCCTGAAGCTCAAATTGTCTTATATGAATAACTGAATATAGCAAACATGAAGTAGAAAGTTGAATATTCCTTCATTTCCTCATTATTTCCTTTATCTGTTTCATGTTGCTCATTGTGCCAAATGCCCAGTTTTCTTTGCTGGCCCCTAAAATTCTGTGCAAGCAGAATTCATTTAGATGTGATTGAGATTTGGCTAAGACTAACATTCTTCAAAGGTCTAAAATTTGTGATGAAATTAGGATTTTCTTTGCTAAAGATGGAGGCTGCAGAACACTGTGAGAACAGTTATTTCAGCTTGTACTTGCTCGATGTAGTCCTTAAAATAAAGCTATGCATGAACAATGAATACATGTGTGTTTAGTCGCCATCCTCACGCCGCATCTCCATCTTGTAGAAAATTGAGAAAGAAGACAGCAAAGGTAATATTTGGTTTCTAATATTTTATTGCAGTGGGCACTTTTTATTAGAAGAAAAAAAATGCATAATCCTAGCAGCTTCTACTTGCAGGTGACCATAGAGCGTTGTCTTATTTTGGCTGAAGATTTCAATTGTATTCATTTTGATACAGTGTATGTCTTTCAACAGCAGCATCTAATAAGCTGTTATTGAAGGTAGTATATGAACAAACTTCAAGTGCATTGTCAAACGGAAAGAGAGAAAAGCAATACAGTTAATGGATCTGTTCATCTAGAACACTAACATAAAGAAGTTTGCATAGCTATGTCTACCGAGGTTTTAAGGCACTTAATGTTTCAAGGTCGACAAAGTGTTTGAAAATGTTTTCTTTTGAACTGCTTAAAGCTTTTCAAGCTGTATCTGAATACATTCACTAGCAAATACCGGGGTGGGGGGGGAAACTGGACAGCAGTTAGTTAAAATATTTTTTTGAGGCATGGCCTCCAATGTTCAAGTTCTTAAATGTCAAATGTTGTGCAATTAAGACACCTTTTAGCCCTTTCAACTGTACTGCCAAACACCAGGTTAATGACATGGTTAAAAAGTTGTTGTAATTTCAGACCATATTTGAACTGGAAGGCTTAAGTTAACGTAGTTTTTTCTGGCATAGCTTTTCTCTTTTCTAACTAAAATTCCAACAAAAGACCTGTTTCATATGTGGTAGGTACAAAAAGCCTCTGAAATAGCGTCAAATTTTATGTATGTCTTGAAGTTTAAAGACATTGAAAGTGAATACAAACTGTGAAATTACACCATGAAAAGAAACAAAGGTTTTTGTCATATACTGAATCTTAACAGTTCATGAATAAATAATTTATTTTGTGATGTTAACCAAGTTGATCCTCGTACTGTTTCCGGAAGCAGTCCCCTGCTGGGAAAAAATCCCAACATCTTTCTTGGTACATCTTCCACACAAATGACTCCTGAAAACGATAAAGAATATCTATTTTAACAGACACCTTGCAGTTAGTGCTCTAGATAAACTTTGAACAATAACCAGGTCCTGTGCCTGTTACTATGGAGTAGAACTGTGAGGACATTGAAACTGAAAGATTGTAACTCAAGAATGTTTACAAAAGTATTGTTCTGCACTTGATTCAGTACTACTGAAATTTAGGCCTTATTAGAAAAACTGTGTAAGTGTAAATTAATCAGTCTAGTTATATCAGAGCAAACCTGTAGACAAAATGTGTATATTCTGTATATACAAAATGTGTTTTAGTTTGCTTGGAAAACATTGAAGTGCAAGGTACTTTTGCAGCATTTGCAGAACAGCTTCTTATTTGAGATAAGATACAATTTAATCCTATTTATTTTCTTATTTCTTTACATTTAGGGCCTAACAACACTAAGCATACATACACACATCCATATACGTACCTATATATACATATATATGGATTTAGACTATAAATATAGTACCTTAACTACTTGATCTTTTTGGAATAAGCTACAACTGGTACATTTCAGGGTTTCATTTCAGAGATAAGATGCCAGTAAGATCAGTAGCAATTGCTGCTGGCAGAGTTCAGTGCTGGGTAGAACAGCACACTGCTGCAGCCCACCTGCTCCCTCTTTTTTAACCCTTCCTTTTCTTTGACTTGCAGAAGAGTGTCAGGGACAGTGGCATCATCTCTACTCCTTGGTGGTGCATCAGTTCCACCTGGTGGTACACAGCTACAAGTCTGGAGAGGATAAAAACGTTGTAAGACAACCTTAAGAAAATAATTTAAGTTTTATATTCTACTCACCTGGCCAGTATGCTCAGTTTCATCCTTGTTAATGAGATACATTAAAAAGAACCTGAAACAAGCACATGAAGCGGGTGTTAATGCAGAAAACGTAACATCGCTGCCTAACCCTGCCTGGATGGGATGTGAGGGAGGTTATGCCAACCAGCAAAGAAGGGATATTGCTGGGTGTCTGAAGCGCTCATAGTGAAGGAGAAAATTCTGTCCTCCAGTGCTCCTCCTGTGGAAGTGCCAACATGTAAAATCTGTAGAATTGGAAAAACGTGGTTTAGCATTTTCTTCATGTCAGTTCTAGGAGCAATACCTGAATTAGGCAGATGCCAACTCCTATACACATATGCTGCAGCATCTCACCTTGGAAGAGGTTACTGTGGCTACTCTGCAAGTTAAAAGTGTGGCAGATTCTCAGCTGCACCAAGATTTCCAAACACTGATGTCATACAGCTCATGAGCTGAGCCTGTCTGTCTCAGATAGCTGTGCCCACTCCAGTGTAGAGAGCTTGAACTAATTAGGAAGGCTGCAGAGTACTAACAGTTGTCTTTATGTAACAGAACCCTTGGTTAGCCACTTTTGATGCTGAGCATTTGGAATTAAACTTGGTACATGATTTCATTGTAAAGGAAGGAGTGTATACTGACTTTAACATTTGTCTAATTAAAGGGCAACCTGGTTAGAAAGATTGTTCTCTGTATATTCTAATATTAAAGAAATTGCCATTTTTAATTTACTGTGAATTACAGGTTCCCATGTACCAATTAAGCAATTCAATATAGTAAGAAAAGCTTGGAGGTTGTAGACTGGTAATAGCCTCACAAAAGTAATGTGCATTGATTTTGCAGTGCTAGTTGCTTGCTATGTGAGGAATCACAGCTCCAGGAGGTTGTTCAGACACAATATTCCAAAGCCAGACTTCTCACTTCAGCTCCTTTGGTTCTGCTGGCACAATTGTATGAGTAAGTGATGGCACCAAATTAACTTTTTAAACATCCTCTTTGATCTGCTCTATATTTACTAATGAAAGCAGAAGATCACTGTTTTGGGAGTCTGGGCAATGGCCTAAACACAAACAACTCCTGATTGCTTCGAGGTTTCGTGAAGCTGCACTATCACTAAAGAACTATAGGATCAGACTTGTAAGTTATTTTTTGCAGCTTATCTTTGAGGAATCTTCCAGAAATGGTTTTGTTGTTGTTTTGATGTTTTGGTCTGGGTTTTCTTTTTGTCAAATTGAGGCTAATTTTCAATGGTCTCATCAACATTGCCAAGTCCCCAGAAGTCACAACCAAAACTTCCAAACTGAAGCAACTTATTAAACTGTTATTCCTATCATTCCACAGATCTGGGTTTCTTTCCAGAGGAAGGAGGATTTGGTGTGCCTTCAGGTCTCGTTCCGCTAAGGTAGCTCATGTGCAAGCTGAGCGCTCTAAAGCTAACCAGCGGTGTGGAGTAGAGGAAGGGAGATCAGAAAGGAATGGAGATATTCCTCAGTTCTACAGAATTCTGTCTTAGGGTTGTCGGCAATGTGTGCACCTAAATTACTCCGGAGCTGAAAGGTCTCTTCACTGTAATTCCAGTAGTAAAGTATACTTACAGATAGTTTGCCAAGTTGTGTTCTTGCAAAGTATGTGTTTCAAAGCCATGTGGGGTTGTGTCAAAATAGTCATTGCCGATTCCACAAATAAAACATTTGGTCTGGAAACACAAGTTGAGGTTACAGATGAATTTTAACTCAAAGACACTCTTTTAACTGGTAACAATCTAGATGAGTAAGAGTAATGAAAAGTGTAGTGTGCTTATTCATACCTCCATATCTTCTCTCACTTGTTCTTGCTGGTCTCTCAATTCACCAAAAGCATCAATAATCAGACCTATTCCAAATGGAGAAGTAGTTAGCAATATTCATATTTCAAGTAATGTCTGTCAGACAGACATCTTCCACTGTCTTTGAAGGTTAGTGTACTTATGTCGTGGTTGAACAATTCAAGTTACAATCTATCAGTTTCCAGACATCCAACATTTGTTTACACTGCACTCCTAGCAGTAAAAATTTCTCTTACATAGAAGTACAATCCTGAGAGTGGAAAGGCCTTTCTATACTTATATTTTGGTCAGTGTAAGTTTCTATAACCTCATCTCTTTTGTTGTCATGAAAGAATTTAATTTCCATTCTCTGTCTCATGGAACTCTTGTATCCCAACTTTTGTTCAGCAAAGACAACTCTGCTCCCCACAGCTCCCCCCTCTGGGAGGGTGATGCTGCTTCACATCTGAAGCATTATTCCTCCACTTCCAACACATTAAGATTAGAGTTGGGTCATGTGGGGGACTGTGACATTCACAACTTTTTCTCAATATAGATATATTACAATTTTTCTTTGCCACCAGATTGCCGTAAACCGGTGTTTTTTCCTGACAGGTTAGTTTATACAATGAGTGTTCCATCTTGAAGAGAGGTCTCATTCTCTGCAAATCACAACTGCAAACCAATTAAAACTGCAAATCATCCTCTAAAGAAAGAGGAAACGGGGGTGTGGCCAAGGGGAAAGTCTCCATTCTGCAGCAAGCTGTGGTGGCTCCAAACTAAAGATGTGAAAAGTGTCTACAGTGAAGCTCTCTCCAAATTTAAATGGGTGTTATAGGAAGAACAGTGATCCTGCACAGGCTGCATCATTGCTGGATAGTTGTCAAAGTGTTCATAAACACTGTAACCCACGTAGGTTATGTTTCTTGGGCATTGTCTTTGTGTAATACTTGGGACAATGCATTATTTATTAATGAAGGATAAAATTATTACGTTCAGAATTAATGATTTTATCAGCTCTGAAATAAGTCTTTATAGCAATACAGCTAAATCTACCTCAAACACAAATACAGTTTAAATACACTGCAGAACTTAAGTAAATTCTAACAGTCTACTGAGGTAAGTGACGGTACCTTGAATAATGGCCAGCAGGATAACAATGACAAAGAAGAAAAAAGTGATGTCAAAGACAATTCGATACATTTCATAAGGGTCTCCAGCAGGATCCTCAATTTCATCCCCAATGCCACCACCAGCTCTTACACCCACATACATGTGGAACAGGTAACACTAAAACAGAGAGAGGAAAATTACAGATATATTTACCATGAATGATTCTGATTGGGGTTTTTCTTTCTTTTTTTTTTTTTTAAATTATTCAGCTCTGCTAATTCTTTTCACAAAGTTATAGTAACAAACAACACATAATGTCATTCCTCACGTATCACACACACTGCATCAAAAATCTGCTACTGTCTTAACTAATGTGATTACATCTTCTAGTACACTTACGAAGAGGGGAGTCAGCATCAGCTGGTACCCTCTCCTCGCTCCCCAGGTCTTACTTACAGACTAAGATCATTTGGGGGGCATTTTGCTTGTATTTTTACTGTATTCCACACTATATTCTACGCCTTATATTAATTCCTAAGGTTCTAGCTTGCTCTCAGTAAGCAGAGGAGATCTTTTAAAGTCTTGTAATGGAGTTTAGAAATGTTGGCAAATATTGCCATAAAATAAATAGTGAGATATTCGCAACAGGTAGATCTATCTGTGTTTGGGTGGTTTCTGGATAATTTCATTTTGCAATTCTAGATGTCTGGTTTAGTATATTGTAGATTATTTGTGATCTGGGAAACACAGCCTGTGTTCAGTTCGATGTGGAACAAATCACTTTGCAAAAATGTTGCTGTGTGTCATATTTTTTGAACATATAAGTCTTCATGGAAAAATCTTTAAAAATCTGGGTATTCAAGCTGTGTATGTATATTAGAATGGAATCTTCTGTTGCAGCAATACACTACTGATGTTCCTGTATGAATCAGCTACAGAATCTTGTAAACCACCTTCAGTCACACAACTTGGGTTAAAAACAACGGAAATCCGTACGCCCAGACAGTGTTCTGAAATCACATTAGACAGCAATGCTGGTGTTAAATAATCAGCATAAAACATGTCAAATCTGGTCTTTCGTAAGCAAACACTAAACAGAACTATACATCCATTTTTATAATGCAGCATTACTGTTGATGCAAGATGCTGGTATTAGTTTAATAATTTAAGCTGGACGTGATTTACCGCACTTGGTAGAGTGGTTTAAAATGTAATATAGTTTCATTATTCCAATTTGTCCTACATCTATTTTATGACCAGACTACTGTATCTAGGTTGCAGAGGGACCAGTTAAATAATACTGCTTGGGCAGTTTCCACAATTTCTGTCATTTGAACACCTGACTTGCGCTGAGTGTTTGAAAGAAAGTTCAAGAACAGGGAAGATTATTTTGTGAAGTCTATGACACACCGCTGTTCTGAGGTATTGTATTCTGTCTTTGGCATAGAACACAGGGCAGAGAGTGACTATGCCATGGAAAAAATGAACGGGCCACAAACTCAGAATATTACATTTTTAAGACCTGAATTTGTGCTATTTTCTATATACAGTAAGAAAATATCTTCGTACCATAATACGTATCTGTAGAGTATCTTTTAATATGACATAAATAACATTCTGTGGCAACAAATGGAAATCAGAAGGGAAATAAATAGCATTAGATTATCACCCGTAATGATTTTTAATTTCCCCCTTCTCTACTCACCCTTGTCTTCTTACTTTATGACTAAATTACTAATTGTAAGCAGTCTGGAGCAGGCTTTTATAACTAGTGCCAATACCATCATATACTTCATATAACCTAAATAAGGACAGGAAGAGCTTGCACAATTGCAAACATTGGGAACAAATTGGAATTATTTGTGCTGTGACAACACAGCTTCTTTTTGCAGGGTGGCCCGGAAATGGGGCATGGGGCTGTCATGAAATTTCTTCCATATAATTCAAGGGTCTGCCATCTTCACATGTAAAAGAGTTGCAGCAAATCGTATACCACAGTATTTAGGAGAAAAATCCAGAATATCTTCCTCTACTGCTGAATGTCATCCACCTACTTTTGAGTTTAGACCACTGGAGAACACAGAGGGAATTTCAGGACCATTCACATTTTCAAAATGATGTATAAGCAAGAAGAAGAGACCCATGAATTTAACTACAAAAACATCCCTTCTTGCTTATCATTTTATCTTAAGTATCCGTTTGAAAATTCAGGATAAAATTTGAAGCATGCTAGTGATGTTTTAGTTACCGTCATCATGTCATCACATTTCATGTCTGGTTCATCTTCATCTTCACTTTTGTTGTAGAATTTGCGGAAGAAGTTGAACGCCACAACAGTGTAAAGATATACTACTACGGCGAGGAGTCCTACAGTAAGCACAAGCTGCGTATGGAGACATGACATGAAAGTAGGTTTCAATTTCATTCTGTGAGATGTGCTAGCTCAGTGCCTTAAGTATTGAAAATGTGTCATATTCTGCTTTTTCCAATAAGGAAACTAAAGACAGCAGTTATGATAGCTTTGAGGTCTTCCTGTTGCTTGTATCAGCATAGAGGTGTTACTTTACCCTACTCTAAACGTGAAAATCAGAGGGAAAAACGGTATCAAACACCTGAAGTTGCTTCCATCTTTCTGAGCTATAGGTATACAAGCTATATATCACTAAAGCAATGTTTCCACTATTTAATTTAAAAGTTAAATTCTAGTAACTTGAAAAACTGGATATACAATGAGAATTAAATGATAAAAAATAAACCCCTTTAGTTAATTTGATGAATAATTTCACCTGGGACTTATGTCTTACCACAGTCTGTTTTCTGTTCCAAAGCTGGTTAGCAAAGCCATCAATAAAATGAATGGAAAATCTTTTCGATAACCAAAAAGTAAGTAATTTTTGGGAAATTCTGTTGGATTTCTCTTAGTGAAAAGCTTGGTTTTGCTGGTATGCTAGCTAGGAACACAGAGCCTTTAGAGATCAGAGAACGATTCCCTGCATGAGTTTCAACAACTAGTTTGGAAGTACATTTTATTAATCAGATTTTTGCATGAAAAAGTGACATATAAATATATTCCACAGTGCAGAATGCCCACACCTGCAAGCACATTCTAACTAGCTAAGTATTGAAATCTCAGCACCCAGATCATTATTATTGCTGTAGCTAAGAAGAGATTGCAAATTCTTAGTAGTTATCACCAACCAGTTCATCACTGAGCATAAAGGAGCAGCTGGTTAAGTCATAATTCATACTCTTATAGTTTTCTAAGATGAAACTTATAGTTATAATAACTTATATAACTTATAGTATACTCTTATAGTTTTCTAAGATGGGTTGGACTAGATGACCCACAGAGGTCCCTTCCAACCCCTACTATTCTGTGATTCTGTCTACAAGGATGGTGAGGGGACTGGAGCATCTCCACTACGAGGAGAGGTTGAGGGAACTGGGCTTGTTCAGCCTGAAGAAGAGAAGGCTGCGAGGGGACCTTATAAATGCCTACAAATATCTGAAGGGTGGGTGTCAGGAGGATGGGGCCAAGCTCTTTTCAGTGGTGCCCAGTGACAGGACAAGGGGCAATGGGCACAAACTGAAGCACAGGAAGTTCCACCTGAACATGAGGAAGAACTTCTTCCAACCCCTACTATTCTGTGATTCTATGATTCTGTGATTCTGTGATGCATTTTTCTATTGTGTACAAAACTTCTTTAGCTGTCAGCACTCTGTGGGTATAGATTATTATAATTTCATAGGATTTAACATGTATTAAATGTGCTGCAGGAGACACAGTGGGATCTATTCTTTAATCCAATCACAATCAAAGTGGATTGCATTCCAGTATTTCCTAGGTACTGCAAGATTTTTTCCAGTGCTGTTACACAACGCATTCATTTTCAAACCTTTGCAGGTAGCACCAACCTGTTTGCCATTGTGCGTGACTGAAGACAAAATGGTTCGCAATGTCTTGAAACCCATTGCAATGTCCAGCAGATGAGCAGCAAAGAAGAAGTTGTTGTAGTGCCCAAGGATGGACATAGTCGTGTACCAAGCTAAGTATAAAAACGACTGCAGAGAAAGTGAAGTGGCCGAATGTTAGCAGGTGTAATGTGCATTATTGGATCCAGAGTAGAGCTTTCTTTCAGTCACTCAAGTTTTGAAATAAAGTAATACTATCACAATCTGATTTGAATCACAGTCTATTTTACATGTTCAAAAAGACTGTTTTACTCGGAGTGTATATTGCTTAGTTATGAGATCTCTGCTTTTACATATTTAAATGCAGTCGTCAGCATCTATGTTATTAACATCAAAATCCCCTACCTTAAAACTGTTGTGGTTGGGGAGCTTGTTACACAATACTTTAAATTTTAATACTGATTGCGGAGGAGAGAAAATGCATTTTATTTACTCTTGAGACACTTGACTTTGTTTAAGTCTCAGACCATGTCAACCAGGATACCCAGAGAACCTAAGGCACGTATTACAGCTTACTCTTTTAACAACCAGTGAACCTGAAGCCACTTTGTCATGAAAGCCCTTATTGAAGAACAGTGGCTCAGAGTGCTTTTAGTGCACAATGAATTTAGAAATCTTCACTTGATTCACCTTGGCCTTCTTGTTTGCTTGTGAATACTCAAGAGGGTATAAAAAGAGGACTCACAAAAAAAGGAGTTTTAATATAAGCATGGTCTTTTCAAAGGAGAAGGTATGAAAGAAAAGAATTAACCGACCATGTCAAACACATGATTCAATAACAGAAAAAAGGATAACTTTCTGTAGACTGTGCTTGATTTTAGAAAAGACACCTTTAGTTGCTAGATTGATTTCTACAAAATTAAATGAATGTACCATTAACTTCCAAAATGCTGACATCATACTAATGGTGGGGACATACATATTACCCTTTAGAATCAAAACCAACATTCTAACATAAATTAATTTGCTACAACACAAGGCATAAAAGACTATTTTAAAATGGCTCTGTAATGCAATATTATTTGTGTATGTTTGTTTAAAATAACAGCAGATAGTGGAGGACATACAGTCATGTTTGGAGCAAACCAAAGCATATTATTCTAGGCTAACATACTCACATTATCAGTGAAAACTACTCCGAGCTTCCAAATGTGGTACTTTGTGTCAATGGAGCTTAACCTAGGAAATACAAAATTTCTGAAATGCATCAATGTCAAAAATAAGTATTGAATTCTGTAAGTGTAAACAACGAACTAGGTCTGGCACTTCACATTTCTTTGCTGAAGGTGGTGATATATATTAGCTGTTTATTTTCTGAGTGGTGTAGGTCCTTCATTTTTCAGAGAGTATTCATTAACTCTGAGCACTCATACACAGATTCTAAGCCATTGAAAGTGGTGGCACAATTTCAGTAGGAGTCATCCTGCCATATTCCAGACTTACAAAAATTAAATTTGTTCAAAGTAGTGAAATGTGGAACCCAAATTGCTTGAATTCAAGAGATAAATGTTCTGTCTACTGTAAAATGTTGCCAAAATTGCCAAGAGAAAAGGTAATGCCTTGTGTGCCTTAAGTATCGAGGAAACAAAACTCTTGTAGGAGCCTAAATCATTTGGGACTTGGATACTTTCAAACTCTTATCTTCACTGATGCATTAAGTCAGGAAAATTTCTCTGAATTTTTTCCAGATACCTGACATTTAGATATTCATTATCAATACTTTTTCTGTCCTTTGGTTTATAAACTAACTCTGTTGTAACACCTAAAGAGTGTTTAAATGCTTTATTGATTATTGTTTAAAATGAAAGAGTGCGTAACTATATCAGTCAGCATCAACTCGTGTGATATTTTTTCTTACTTCTGTACCACAAGGGTAAGTATGTTTTGGAACAAACAAAAACCTTTTGTATTTTACTTCCACACTAGGAAGACTCCTCTGTTTTAATTTTCTATGCCGAGGAAAACATCACTACGGTTTCACTAGAAAATCCGATTTTATCTCTGGTGGTGAAGTTATGCCAACGCATAATTTGTCCGTGAAGTTCAGAAGTCATACCATGATACAAGAGACGCCTCTTCTGGTTCGTTCTCTTCCATTGGACTAAAATCAAGGGCACTTTTGTCCAAACCCAAAAGTTCTGCTATGCGCTCTGCTCCATATAAGTCTCCGTACTTGTTAATAACCTAAAAATGGAAGAAGAGAAGCTTTTGCTCAGAGAAAGACCTGGGTGACATTCACCCTACTTCAGGCCAGTAGTTGTCAGAATTTTTTTTTTTTTAAAAAGTCTTTCACAATTAACGCTACTAGAACAGTCAGAACTCCCAGGAAGCCAGGCGGGGGGAGCGTAAAAAAGAAAAATAGAAGCATTAAACGTTATTATCTGAAAGCTTATGTATAATTTGCCATCATTTAAGCTGGCATGTTTTTCTTTTTTTAGGGGGATGAGGGGGCTTTGTATCCTAAAGATGACAATGACTGTAAATTAAACCTGTGTGGCTGATTGACAGCACAAAGTTATTTTGAATGCGTGAGTCTAGGAAGGAAACCACAGCCTTCTGTCTTGCTGCCTCCTCCGACCTACGGTGCAGCTGCCTGTTCACCGAGACATTTACCACAACAATGACTTCCACAAAACAAACTTCAGTTCTCAATTATTTGTATATTTATGTATACAGAAGTATATTACACATAGATATCCAAATTAACTGAATAGTAGGTTATTGCTGCAACTAACATAATAGACATACAAAATGCCTACCTTCCGTTTTACAAATTTGTCCCAGTAGTTGTTAGGAAAGGACCTACATAGATAAGGCAAAGATATTTCAAGTTATTAAATTTGCTAGGGGAAAGAAAAACACAACCAAAAAAAAGAAAATACCATGTTCCTGATCACTGCAGATTCTGATACAATTTCATTCACTGCACTTCGAATTTTGAGAACAATTGATTTTCATGTGGACACCAGCTGTTATTAATCATCATTTGCACAGTGTCATCTTTTTTTTGCCCCCCTCTTTTCTTTTTCACATCCACAAATATGATTGGCTACAAAAGGACAGCAAGCTAAATATTACCACCTAATGAGCTTAACAACTCAATATTAGCAGAGTAGTCACTGTAATATCATTCATCTCCTAAATAAATAATGTATTGCTTCTAGCCATAAAATCAATACGGACAATGATTTTCAGAGGAAAATAAGAAAGTCTTGTAGCATAAATAATTTTTAAGTTCACAGGATTACCTCTCAAATAGAGACTGAACACTTGGGAACCCGTGGACAGTTTGCCAACATACAATTAACATTCAAAAAAACCTAAAAACCCACCCAGATCAAAGATCATTTGGCTAAACCAGCGGTTAGTGGTGATCTTGTTCTCAGGTGTATCATATTGTTGTTACTGGATCTGACATCCCAGAGCAAGACAAGGTAAAAAGCATTAGTAATTCTAAAGTTGCAAGACAGTTCAGCTAAAGAGCATTTTGCATCATCTGCCTCTCAGCAGCCATGCCCACACTGGCAATTAAAAGAAAAGCTATTGTGTATAAAAAGAGAAAGAAATCAAGCAGTAAATCTTAAACACTGAAGAGATGTCAGGGTATCTTGTATTGAAAATTCCTTGAGCAACCGTGATGCTTCAATAAGCAACCAGTTTTATCCAGGGGACATCTTAGAACAGACACTAGGAAATACATCAGCTTTGACCTGCAAGGAAAAAGATAGCGTTCTCTCTTATCAGTAACCTTTCCCTGATCTTCAACTTGATCACAGAAAATGCTGTTCTTGAACTGCCTTATGAACAGCAGTGCCCAGGAGTTCCTCATTCTGACAGTCTGACTGAATATTATGGCAGTTTTGAAGAATGCCAATTAGCAGGAAACACTACAAAAATTAAAGTTTTTCTCTCCCCGTTTCCAGGACGTAACACTGAGTTGAGCATATATGCAGGAAGGCAAAAAAGAAAAATAACTGCTTAAACTAAGGGACAGTATTGGTAAAATAAAGCAAAGGTTAACATCAGAAGAATGAGATTCCAGAACACTTTTCTGCTGGGATGTGAGGCAAACTTCCTAACTACTGTTCAGTGCTCAATTTTTTATTTTTCTGAATTGAAGTTCTGAATGAAATTACTCCAGATAAAGGCAAATGGGTCCAGTGACTCAGATGGTATATTCTGGCCCAGTACTCTATATTCTTTCTGTCTTTGATTTCTCAGACTTTTAAGCAAAGTTTGTTTCTAATGTAGCCAGCTTGTGTCTATCTCTTTTACCACAAACATCTAACGATGCTGCATTTATCAGGGTACCTCTTTTGCCTTTTTAATTACTGTTTTTGTCACTTATAGAAAGCACATTTCATTATATACACAGCACTGGGTACCCTTCAGCAGTGGTTATCCTGATGGCACAATACCTGCACTACACCTCGAGAATCAGTTCACATCAGAGAGAAGGATTAGTCTGCTTAAATTAGTCTTAATCTTCTATTCAGCTTCAGTAGATAGTGCTGCATGCGGACAGCAGGCTGTACAGCATGTCGTTTGGGATAAGCTGACAATATATCTCACTAATCCATGCTTGTTTTTGCTGGGGATAATCTTACTGGATGTCTAGATAGCTTGCTATCAATAGCTAAAGAAATGGGTTGGAAATTAAGCAAGCTCTCCAGTTTCCCAATTATCTTCTATTGTAATAATATGTGCTAGTCTGTATTTCTAACTAAAATTAAGGAAAATCCTGAAAATTCAGGTATAGGAAAACAAAGGATTCAAGAATTTCTGATATTTTAGACATTCTAATTTTAATGAAAGTACTAGGGGCACTACTTACGATGTACAAAAGTTGAGTATGACTGATACGATGGATATTTTTGCTATTTGGCAGCATATGGTCACTCTGATGCATTTAGTTGATTATTTTTGCTGGCTTGTTTTACCCAAATACTTACTTAAGCCTGCACATACTAGCCACAACTACTTTGTGACTTGTAAATAAGTTTGTTCTTTTCCAGCTTTCTGTCACTGTCCTTAATTTATGATACTATTTGGGAAAGACAGGAATCTAAGGCTAGGTATACGGCTAGGTATACTAGTAAAAAAATGTAATTCTGGTTTTGAAAGAGTACATTCTGAAAAACAGCCTGTAGACAAGGCATGGTTTCAAGAGCAGGCAGTTGACTTGCTGTATTTCTCTGTGTCACTCCTACAGACTGCTGCAGCTTACGGATAGTTTTCTTGTTCTTGCCTCCCTTACATCATTCACTCACAGAACTGTAGATGAGTCTCCCAGAATCAGTGTATGACTACTACAGTATCTTCTAATGCATACAACCTGACAGTAATTCCTGTCAGACCTAGTCAGATTCTGGGATTGCTGTTTTACACTACATGTACTTCTCTTGTCATATACGAATTTTGTTAGCAAGAAGTGGGAAAGGCAGGAGAATACCGCTGTACAATATGAATGTGAAACTGAGTCACTGAAAAGGATGGAAGTTATCTTTTTAAAACTTTCTCACTAGTGACCAATATGTGAAATGTCTTGGAGAGAGCTTGTGAGGTAAGATGCACAATCCTTGCAAGCCCTAGAAAAAGGAAAAGGAGGTGGAATTTACATTTTATGGTAGTATTTATTACATAAAATACAGGATTTCACATCAGAATCTATTACTGTAGCATCCAATACAAGGTGAAAAATGCCTTTCTTTTAGATGAAATAGGTGGCAGGTGGACAGGCAAGTTTCTAGATCAGTGGCTTAATGAGCTACAGTATTTATAAACAGTTTATATATAACCATTTAATTTTACTTACGGAGTATTGATAACCAGGCGATCCCATTGGCCTTTAATATCATCTTCAGATGGCTGTTCAGTTATGTATAGTCCATCAAATTCCAGCTTTCTAGCTACCTCCTTTTCTCTCTTGAATACAACCAGAGGGACCTATGAAAATAACAGTGGACAGCTTTGTCATGGTTTATATATTTTTAGAAACCATGATATCTACCTACAGTATTAAGCACTCTTTATAACACTATATAAGACCAAACATCCCACTAGCACCTCCCACAAGCAGATCAATGCCTATCCAGTCTCTGAGCAACGGCCACCTTGAAAGTAAAGCCCTCTTACCCCCAGTTTTTATTGCTGAGTGTGACATTACATGGTATGGAATATCCCTTTGGTCGTTTCAGGTCAGCGTGCCCTCTCCCAGCGTCTTGGCCCTGCCCAACATATTTGCTGGGAGATGAACAGAGTGGGTAAAGCAAAGAGAAAGCCTTCACACGTGCAAGCACTGTTCAGCAATAACCAAAAGGTGGGAATGTTACCAACACTGTTCCAACCACAAATCCAAAACACACACACTGCTGTGAAGAAAGTTAACTCCACCTCTGCCAGACTGAGTACATGAGGAAAATTTCTACATATTGAACACTGCAAACCACAAGGTACAAACAGGTATTCCAGTGTTAGCTCCACAAATCACTGTGGGACACAGCTGATGTTCTTTAACAAACACAAGATTAGTAGTAAGATACAGAACTTGCCTTTAAGCAGTAGTATCCAATCACACAGACAAAGGAGATGATCGTGTGAATAACTGCCAATGCTCTGAGAGCAGGTGCCATGTAACCTGTACTTTCTTCTAAAACAAAAAACACCATGCCCTCCTCCTCTTCCTCTTCATCGAAAGAGTTCCAGAGATTAGAGTCTTCCTCTACTTCATCAAGTGGCTCTTCTGTCACCTGAGAGAAATTCAAGCATATTGAAAACACACAATAAACTGAAAAGCTTTTCCATCAGTATAATGACAAAGGATGTTTGCAAAGCCTGCTCATGGGAAGATGATAGAGCATTAGCTTTGAACAGTAATGTCCTTCATTTTCCCAGCAGAAGTCTCCACATCATCTCATGTCACTGAAAAGAGAATCAAAAAAAGCAAGTACAGGCATATGACAGTTTACAAAGCTCTCCTTTAACAATGCCAGAGCAAAACCAAAGCCAACAATAAAAAAATGATGCAAAAATCTTTTCCTGGAAGAACCAAGCAATAACAGGGTTATCTAATATGACTGAATTTAGAGTCTGTTTTGTAATCTATGTCATTCTACTATAGAAAGAAACAAAGTTCTCATGTTATCAACTTGTACATTGTCCATAAATTTTTATTTCATGACTTAGTTTAGAGCTTATAAATTAATACAGTATTTAATCAGTATTTTGTAAATACCCCAAAGCCATAAAGCTGACATACTGCCCTGAATTCTTCCAGTGACTTTAAAAACCTGGCCTTTAAAATAAAAGCCCCAAGAGCCCTTCTTTTGACAGCTTTATCTGAAAGCTGAAGTCCTGTTCAGTCCTGTTTGGCTCCCCCTGACCCTTTTCTATCTATGACAGATGGACCTGTACTGATAAACACAAACTTTTGTCCTCGCTCTGCAACAGAATGGGTTGTTGGCTGACCCACAGGGCCCAGTGGAAAGCAGAAGAGAGTGGGAAACAAAGGACTGGCATAGACATAAGCAGACTTCTGCATATCTCTTTGAAGTCTATCTTCTCTAACCATATGGGATGGAAAGAGAGAGGCAAGAACGGAGCCTTAAATAGCCCTGACGGTCTTTCTCCTGGAATGGCGCACAGACATTCTGCACAGTTTTCAAGAGCCTTTTGCATCTTCACCTGCCCTGTCTCCGAGACTGTAACTGTGCTGTAGGAGTTGCTTTTCAAGATATTTGAGATCAGGATTCAGTTACTTTTAGCCTGAATGTTCAGCCAGCTGCTTTTGTCTTCTCTGAATTTTTTGGTTGTAAACAACAGAACTAGAAAATGTAACACTGGAAAACAGAAGATCCACCAACTTATTGCAACTTGCACCCTATATCTAGAAGGGGAAAATCAAAAGGGCTGGATTCCAGGATAAAGATAAATGAGGATTTTTCTTATGCACATACTCAATTTGTCTCAAATTGAGACATTAATCTGATTCTGAAATTATGTATGAACTAGCTGACAGTCAAAAATGAATGTAGTCAGTAGGGTTCTTTAGAAAAAGCAGAAATGTAATCACTCAGAATAATCAGGTGAACAGAAGCCTCTCAGAATCTTTAGAACCAATGAGAGAAAAAAATGTAACAGTTTCGACACTTGAGTTAGTCAGATTTCAAATTTCCCATGACAAGATTAACAATCAAAAAATAATAGATTTACGTGAGTAAATTAAAAACTGCCTAGAAACACAAGCTCAGCTACAAAGGATGAATAAAATAAATCTGTTTTCATTCAGCCCGAGTAAAATAAAAACAGAATACGTTTAATATCACAAATTTTAGTTACAAAATTCAAATTCTTAACACCTTCATGTCTAAATGCTTTAGTTAGTGTTTGAAGGGCTTGTAATAATGGCTTTACTAAACGAACCTTGAAAACATCATTAGATATTCCTCTGGAAGTAACCGAAAAACATTTAAAGAACAATGCATAATCTTACCTTGTAAAACAGAAGAATAAAATTGATGGCAAATGCAACAAATAGAGCAAGAAACCTTAAGTTATAAAAATTTCTTGCCAAGTAGTGCTGAAAGTTAAAAAAAAAAATTAATTAGAGGTGGCCTGTAGCTAATATCAACGTAAGAAAAGTAGAAAGTAAACACACAATCGTGTTGCCTTCATACACCAGCTATAATGAGCAAGGGCATTTCTTTGGAGCCTATTCTTGCATTTCATGGTAAGCGGGATTAAAAATAATGGGCTTAAAATTTCAGCAGGGAAGACTGAAATAGAATATTAAGGAAAACTTTCTAGAAGGATGTCTGTAACATTTCTCCCTTCAATAGCAAACAAGTGTTCTATATTGTATAAATAAAAATTCAATGACTAGAAGAATTTATGATAAACTTACAAGCATTTTTGTTTGATAAATTTCCAAAGCTTTGAAGAAGTTAGCCATAACAGCCTCCGGTTTCTCAATTTTTTGTCCATGCCTTCGCTTCTTTTTCTTCATTTTTCCCTCTTCTAGCTGCTCGGATTGTACTTCCTTTGCTTTATCTTGTTTCTCCCCATCTTCCATGCTAGGAGAAAGATTATCTTAACAAAAATACCTAGCCAAACTTCTGTATTGCAAATGCATTCATTTAGAAGGAAGTCTAATTCAGGAAGTTTGGCTTTGAAAGTTAGTGTTGACACTGGGAGAAAAAGGATTGTAAGTAAAAGACTTGAGGTGGACAGTAAGCCCAGAGTAAAAGAAGTGACCTTAGTTTCAAATGATATGGAGGAATAGAGTTGTCGAGGGGAGATCAAAAAGGGTAAAAAGCCAAAAACCAAGCAGAAGTTACTGCGCCAAGCATGAAGTGGATAAAGTTTGCCAAAACCAGTGATATACATACATACTCAAAGCAAGCAACATAAAAATTTTAAGTGTTCATGTGTACTTTCTTGAGACTGGGGCTGAAGAAGAGAAATAAAGCTTTTGGCATTTGGTACACAGTATCGTAACTGAATCACAGTATCATAAAATGAATTCATTTCAGTCAAGGCAATCACTGTTGTTAGAGAGATGAATGAGTAACAAGGAAGTTTGCTTCAGAGGGTCGCACCTTACAAAGTACGTAGAAGATGACAATCAATCCTCCTGCACCACTGAACTGCCTTTATGAAAATTAAGTATTAAGACTGTATGTGGTAATAGGGGAATTTAGTTACTAAATTAAAAAAAAAATTTGCATATATGTAAAAGAATGTGTTTATCTTCTAGCAAAAAAAGCCCCTGTTGCAGCCTCAGAAGTGTAAGCCATTTCAACTTTAATTTTTAATCTGAAGGCAATTTGAATATGCTGCAGAAGTACTTGAGAAGAGATTTAAGCATGGCGGATGAGAAGACAACGGGGAATAGGAAAAATAAGGCCAATAAAATAACAGAGGTAGAAAGAGATCATGCCTATAGAAAATAAGAGGTGAAAAAGCCTAAAATAAAAAAATGAGTGGCACAGGAGATTTTGGGCAAATTCCGAGGTATTTATAAATTGCTTCACTGAAGCACTAGTGAATATGCTGCTAGTGTCTAAATGAGGAGACCAAAATAAGTCCACAAAGAAAAAAGGCCAGCAGCGGTATGATTTAACAAAACTTTTAAAAGGGATCATTTCACAGAATCACAGACTCACGAGGTAACAGAAAAAAAACCAAAAACCCTATTTAAATGCATATGTGTGAGCATATGGATATGTACATTCTTGTCCATATAAGACACACATATACACATATATGTATATACACATACATATACATGCATGCCTACATACACACATATAAGTGTATATATATACAGAGGAGAAAAAAGGATACTTTTCAGACAAGCTATACAAAGTGTATCTGGTCCTAAAATATTGACCCCAATGGCCCACTTAAAAAAATTAACTTTGGCTGATAAGAAAGATAAATGAGGCTGAAGTAAACACTTTAAACATGAAGCAAAACAGGAAAAAAAAAAAAAGAAAAAATATGCATAGCTTTTGAATATGTAAGAATCTCTAAGAGATCTTTTGTATGTGTCTACAAATATTTTAAGGGCGTTCATCAGGCTGCAAGCCTACAGTGTGGCTGCAGGTCCAAAAAGAGATCATGTCCCTTAAAAGTAGGATGCTGCTAAAGCAAGGTAAGCATTTTAAAAGTTATTTATAGGTCAGTCATATGCAGGATGACTGGACAAAGGAATGTATCTGTTGTGAAGTTCACAACCTGAGAACAGATTAAACACCAATAATAAAAACTGTTGGGTTAGTCAAATATTGTGTCTCA